GTTACCCAGGATGGAGTGCAATGGCGCGATCTCGGCTCACCGCAACCTCCGCCTCCTGGGTTCAGGCAATTCTCCTGCCTCAGCCTCCTGAGTAGCTGGGATTACAGGCACGCGCCACCATGCCCAGCTGATTTTTTGTATTTTTAGTAGAGACGGGGTTTCACCATGTTGACCAGGATGGTCTCGATCTCTTGACCTCGTGATCCACCCGCCTCAGCCTCCCAAAGTGCTGGGATTACAGGCGTGAGCCACCTCATGTTCTTGTAGGGGAGGTAGTCAGCTAATCACTTCTTATTGACTGACTACCTCCCCTACAAGAACATGAGCTCCATAAGGACAGGGATTAGTGTCTGACTTTTCACTGCTTTACCATCAGACTTTTTAAAAGTAATAAAGTTAGAAGTAATAAAATTAGTCTATTTCCATTTAAAAGTAATAAATTCACTTGTCAGAACTGTAGCAAAATTTCAATAAAGGACTATAGATATCAAAATACAACAAATGTTAAGATATAATACTCTCATAAATCTATTTATTATAGTACATTAACAATAAAATAAGTATACGACAGACTAGGTGTTCCTTACTCAGGTGACCAAAGGTATTTACTGTGCTGAAGTGGTCAACTAGCTTTATTTATTTACATTGGGGAACCTCACACTAAAGATAAAGGCAATGGGTATATTATATAGAGAAAGAGAAAGTAAAACAACTATAAGAGAAATGTGTTGTCCCTTGTGACTTCTATGCAGTATGAACACCAAGCTGAGGTCTGGGAAGCCTGCCACTGGATGTGTCACAGGAGAGAATGAAATATGCCAAGGAAGCCAAGAAAAGCTGAGGGGTTAGGCTAGTTAGCAAGGGGAAGATGGTAGATACACTCTGGAAGCATTACCTAGGGGGAAAAAGTGGACTAGAAGCTGCCAACTGCAAGTTTCCACACCTGGTGGACAAGGGACATGACCACAAAGATGAGAGGAACTAAAGGACAACACAAGACGCTTATCCAGAGGCGAGGTGTATAGGTGCCTCTCCCTTCCTAGCATACAGCAAGATCCCCCAGGCATAGCTGAGGGGAAAAGGGAAGGGCGGGAGTCTAGGAGTGTACAAATTCTTCTTAGAGAATCTAAACAATAATATTTAAAGAAACTATTTATGATTGAATAGGACTGAGTTTTAAGTGGATAAGGTTAAAGGTAACTTTTCCCCTACCAAGCAAGAAGTCAAAAAGTATCAGATTATGTATGTACTAAATATTTTCTCTACACATCTAAGTTACGTTATCAGTAAATATACAAAACCATAACAAAAGCATCAGCAAATATCTGATCAAATCTAGGAAATAATTTCTTAGGCATAAAATCAGTGAGAGAAATAAAAAGAAAAATCAATAGATTAGACCACATAAAATTTTAAAACTATAGGATATTAAAAACAAATACGTACTTAAAAGCCAAATTTTTTAAAGCAGGAAAATTACAACAAACAAAACATACTGAAAGTTAACTAACAACCTCAACATATAAACATTTGAAAACTGGTGAAGCAATGGAATAAAAATTAGCAAATTAAAATAGAAAAATCAAAAAAGATAAAAAAAGAACAAACATCTAAAAAGAAAAACTATCCAGCCTCACTAGCAGTCAATAAACTGAATTTTTAAAAATACTACTTAATGGTCAGGTGAAGTGCAATCCTAACACTTTGGGAGAACAGGACAGGTGGATTACTTGAGGTCGGGGGTTTGAGATCAGCCTTTCTAACATGGTGAAACCCCATTTCTACTAAAAATGCAAAAATTAACCAGAAATTGCTTGAACCTGGAAGGCAGAGATTGCAGTGAACTGAGATCGCGCCACTGCACTCCAGCCTGGGTGACAGAGTAAGTTTAAAAAAAAAAAAACAAAAAAACTACTTTTTAACTATCAAAGAAGACAAAAACTTTTTTAACTCAATGTTGTCAGAGTAAAATAAGCATTCTTATACACCGTAAGAAATTAGTACAAACTTTAGGGTAATTGGGCAATACTTTATTTTTTTAAAGAATATTCCCCCATAGTAATATAAAGAGAGAAATAATAAGTGATATGAACAAAAAATTTACATAATGATTATTTACTGCAGCAATCTTAACAAAAAAGGGGGCATAAACAACCTAGATGGTTAAAAATAGGCACATATTTATATACCTTACATAGCCACATGAAGCATTACGCAGTCATCGAGAACATTTTGTGCCAGGCACGGGGCCTCACACCTGTGATCCCAGAACTTTGGGAAGCCGAGGTGGGCAGATCACCTGAGGTCAGGTGTTCAAGACCAGCCTGGCCAACATGGTGAAAACCCACCTCTACTAAAATACAAAAATTAGCCGGGCATGGTGGCATATGCCTGTAATCCCAGCTACTGGGGGCTGACGCACAAGAAATGCTTGAGCCCAGAAGGCAGAGGTTGCAGTGAGCCAAGATCACACCACTGCACTCCAGCCTGGGTGACAGGGTGAGACTCTGTCTCAAAAAAAAGAAAAAAAGAAAAAAATTTCTTTAAAATTAAGGATATGACAAATAGCCATATTAAGTGAAGAGAGAGTACTATATTGTGTATAGAAGATACACAAATTATGATATATCCATACAAAGAACACTAACGAGCAATAAAACAGGGCAAAACCCAGATATAAGCAACATGGATGATTCCCCAAACAAGAAAATCATTATACAAAGTGAAAGAAGCCAGATACATGTAAATACTATATGAGTCTAGTTTTAAAAAGTTCAGCAACAGGCAAAAACTAGTCTATGGCAAAAAAAAAAATAGCGATTATTTCTGGAAGGAGGGTGTGTCAAGCACAAAGAGGTCTGACGAAACTCAGGTGATGTGAACATTTGTATTTTGATCTGAGTGGCAATTACAGGAGGATATATATATGTAAAAAGTCATCAAATAAAGTACAAATACATATACACATAAATAAAATAATAAAGTCATCAAGAGGTATACAATATTTGTACATTTTACTGTATGTCTATCATATTTTATCATGTTTTGTATTTTGTTTATCATGTTTATTTTGTAGTACTTTATCTCCATAAACTACTACAAAAATTGCATAAAAAGGACAACTTCAACTTGGTTAAATATATTTAAATGCAAAGAAAAAAGAATGTAAAGCACATGAACATATAAAAAGTGGCAAACTGTAGCCTTATTTCTATTTTCTTTTTTCCTTTCTGCATTTTCCACATACCTACAATGAGTTTTATGAACAGAAAAAATAAACACTAAACTTCATTTTGAAACTTCTGCCATGTTTCTAAAGAAACTTCTGTAATACTTGTAACTATCACAAAGTGAAACCCCATCTCTACTGTTACTGTGCAGAAAGGCAGTAAATGCTTCCTCCAATAAATTCCCTGTAAATTACAAACATTCACGTTCATTAGTGTGTTTGGACAAATCAAAAAAAAAAACTGAGCTCTGCTTGGTAAATGAATGAGAAAGGCAACTGGGAAGTCAACACTATCAACTGCGAAATGACTTTAAGACTTGGTCTTCTCTGCAACAAGTACAGGGCCCTAATGACACAATAAAAACTAATTCCTTCAAATCTTTTAGGTTTGTGGGATAGAGAAAAAAAAAAACAAGTTCCTGAAAACTGGGGTTTTTTAAAGTTATTATTTTAAATATTCCTTGTGAACCTGCTTTTATCTAAATTCCACATGAAATGCCAAGCATCAATTGGATTTACAATGAAAATACTCTTTTGGGTTTGAGAAACTTTTATAACATGCATAAAATATTAAGAAAAAAAACAGAAAAGACATACAAACCTCTGATTGTACATGCCCCGAAAGTTGTAATTAGCTCTATAATTTGGGAATGGCTTTGGATCTAATGGCCTGTAGATGGCAGGCTCTCCCCTTTTCATAGCAAGCCCATTCAGTTCCACAGTTGGAGTTATACTGCCTGTTTAAAAAAAAAATTAAAGGCACACAAATGAAATATCTTCACAATAACTCATGCAGGCTATATTTATGCTACATTTACCTACAATGGAAGAAGGTGAGAATGGATGGACCACTTGTATGATTTTCTAAGAAACTGCATGAACAAAGGCAAAAACCAAGAAAACAGTTTCTAATAAAATCTTCTTGGAATTTTGCAATGTTTTCTGAATATTAAAATTTGAGTGTGAAATCATTACTATTAAAACATAGTAAACAGAAGATCCTTAGACTGCTTAGCGTGAATATTCTTTGTTAAGAATATTCACCATTACTTACCCCAGAAAGCTTGTGTGTATTTAGTCATTAAAAACATCATCTATGAATGTTTTTATTTATACTTTGGTAATTAAATAACTAAGCATTGACAATAAAGTCATCAGTGGTTCTTGGACTTAACTAACAAAAAAGGTTTTTTGAATTTTTTTCGATAACCACCAAGACAGAGTAAATATAAGCAATATTTCCTGAATCCAAAATGTCACCTATTCCTCACAAATATTAAACATATGTACAAGCAGCATCACCGATAAAAACAAAAGACTGGAGACAACCTAAACAACATCAGTGCAGCACCAGTTATATAAACGTCCATACCATAAATCACTGAACAGCTACAAAAGGAGGAAAAATACTACACGCCTTGCTTTTTTTAAAAATTTAACAATATACCTTGGAGGTTATACCTTAGCAGTGTAGGGTATAATGTTAAACGAAAAAAAAAAAGCAAAGTATCAAATACTGTGTGCTTTAACATTATCTTTTGTCTAAGAAAGATGAAAATGAAAATATAAATACGTATTTGCTTACTTTTTTTGGCATGTGTTCCTACATATTTGCTTACTTTAAAAAAATAAGTAAATAAACACAAAACTAAAAGAGAAAAAAAGTTACTTTTAGCTTGGCAAAGCCACTATAGCCAGACTGCCTCTCTAGATTCCTCCTCTCTGGGCAGGGCATCTCTGAAAGAAAGGCAGCAGCCCCAGTCAGGGGCTTTTAGATAAAACTCCCATCTCCCTGGGATAGAGCACCTGTGGAAAGGAGCAGCTGTGGGGACAGCTTCGGCAGACTTAAACATTCCTGCCTGCCAGCTCTAAAGAGGGCAGCAGATCTTGCAGCACAGCACCTGAGCTCTGCTAAGGGACAGACTGCCACCTCAAGTGGGTCCCTGACCCCTGTGCCTCCTGACTGGGAGACACCTTCCAGGAGGAGTCAACAGACACCTCACATAGAAGAGCTCTGGCTGGCATCTAGCATGTGCCCCTTTGGGACAAAGCTTCCAAAGAAAGAAACAGGCTGGAATCTTTGCTGTTTTGCAGCCTCCACTGGTGATACCCCAGCATACAGGGTCTGGAGTAGACCTCCAGAAAACTCCAGCAGACCTGCAGCAGAGGGGTCTGACTGTTAGAAGGAAAACTAACAAACAGAAAGGAATAGCATCAACATCAACAAAAAGGGCATCCACACAGAAACCACATCTGAAGGTCATCAACATCAAAGACCAAAGGTAGATAAATCCATGAAGATGAGGAAAAAAACAGCACAAAAAGGCTGAAAATTCCAAAATCCAGAATGTCTCCTCTCCTCCAAAGGATCACAACTCCTCACCAGCAAGGGAACAAAACGGGACAGAGAATGAATGTGACAAACTGACAGAAGTAGGCTTCAGAAGGTGGGTAATACACTCCTCCAAACTAAAGGAGCATGTTCTAACCCAATGCAAGGAAGCTAAGACCCTTGAAAAAAGATTAAAGGAATTGCTAACCAGAATAACCAGTTTAGAGAAGAACATACATGACCTGATGGAGCTGAAAAACATAGCACGAGAACTTCGTGAAGCATACACAAGTATCAATAGCTGAATCGATCAAGCAGAAAAAAGGATATCAGAGATTGAAGATCGACTTAACGAAATAAAGCAAGAAGACAAGATTAGAGAAAAAAGAAGGAAGAGGAATGAACCAAGTCTCCAAGAAATATGGGACTATATGAAAAGACCAGACCTACATTTGATTGGTGTACTTGAAAGTGATGGGCAGAATGGAACCAAGTTGGAAAACACTTTTCAGGATATTATCCAGGAGAACTTCCCTAACCTAGCAAGACAGGCCAACACTCAAATTCAGGAAATACAGAGAACATCACAAAGATACTCCTCAAGAAAAGCAACCCCAAGACACATCATCATCAGATTCACCAAAGTTGAAATGAAGGAAAAAATGTTAAGGGCAGCTAGAGAGAAAGGCTGGGTTACCCACAAAGGAAAGCCCATCAGACTAACAGTGGATCTCTCTGCAGAAACCCTAAAAACCAGAAGAGAGTAGAGGCAAATATTCAAGATTCATAAAGAATATTCAGCCCAGAATTCCATATCCAGCCAAACCAAGCTTCTAAGGAGAAATAAAATCATTTACAGACAAGCAAATTCTGAGAGGGTCTGTCACCACCAGGCCTGCCTTACAAGAGCTCCTGAAGAAAGCACTAAATATGGAAAGGAAAAACCAGTACCAGACACTGCAAAAACATACCAAATTGCAAAGACCATTGATGCTATAAAGAAATTGCATCATATTTGCCTGCATCAACTAACAGGCAAAATAACCAGATAGCATCATACTGACAGGATTAAATTCACACATAACAATATTAATCTTAAATGTAAACAGGCTAAATGCCCCAAATAAAAGACACAGACTGGCAAATTGGATAGAGTCAAGACCCATTGGTGTACTGTATTCAGGAGACCCATGCCACGTACAAAGACACACATCGGCTCAAAATAAAGGGATGGAGGAAGATTTACCAAACACATAGAAAGCAAAGAAAAAGCAGGGGTTATAATCCTAGTCTCTGATAAAACAGACTTTAAACCAACAAAGATCAAAAGAGAGCCGGGCGCGGTGGCTCAAGCCTGTAATCCCAGCACTTTGGGAGGCCGAGGCGGGTGGATCACGAGGTCAAGAGATCAAGACCATCCTGGTCAACATGGTGAAACCCCGTCTCTACTAAAAATACAAAAACATTAGCTGGGCATGGTGGCGTGTGCCTGTAATCCCAGCTACTCAGGAGGCTGAGGCAGGAGAATTGCCTGAACCCAGGAGGCGGAGGTTGCGGTGAGCCGAGATCGCGCCATTGCACTCCAGCCCGGGTAAAAAAAGCGAAACTCCAACTCAAAAAAAAAAAAAAAAAAAAAAGATCAAAAGAGACAAAGAAGGGTATTACATAATGGTAAAGGCATCAATGCAACAAGAAGAGCTAACTATCCTAAATATATATACACCCAATACAGGAGCATCCAGATTCATAAAGCAAGTCCTTAGAGACCTACAAAGAGACTTAGACTCCCAAAAAATAATAGCGGGAGACGAAGTCTGTCAATATTAGCCAGATCAACAAGACAGAAAGTTAACAAGGATATTCAGGACTTGAACTCAGCTCTGGAACAAGTGGGCCTAATAGATATTTATAGAACTCTCCAGCCCAAACAAACAAAATATACATTCTTCTTAGCACCACATCAGCTTATTCTAAAATTGACTATATAATTGAAAGCAAAACACTCCTCAGCAAAAAAAAATGCAAAAGAACAGAAATCATAACAGTCTCTCAGACCACAGTGCAATCAAATTAGAACTCAGGATTAAGAAACTCACTCAAAACTGCACAACTACATGGGGACTGAACAACCTGCTCCTGAATGACTATTGGGAAAATAATGAAATTAAGACAGAAATAAATAAGTTCTTTGAAACCAATGAGTACAAAGATAAAACGTACCAATCTCTAGGACATAGATAAAGCAGTGTTTTAGAGGGAAATTTATAGCACTAAGTGCCCACAGGAGAAAGTGGGAAAGATCTAAAATCAACACCCTAATATCACAATTAAAAGAACTAGAGAAGCAAGAGCAAACAAATTCAAAAGCTAGCAGAAGACAAGAAATAACTAAAATTAGAGCAGAACGGAAGGAGAGAGAGACACAAAAAACCTTTCAAAAAAAAAAAATCAATGAATCCAGGAGCAGGCTTTTTGAAAAGATTAACAAAATAGATAGACCACTAGCCAGACTAATAAAGAAGAAAACAGAAAAGATTCAAATAGACACAATAAAAAATGATAAAGGGGCTATCACCACTGATCCCACAGAAATACAAACTACCAACAGAGAATACTAAAAACACCTCTATGCAAATAAACTAGAAAATCAAGAAGAAATGGATAAATTCCTGGACACACATCCTCCCAAGACTAAATCAGGAAGAAGTCGAATCCCTGAAAAGACCAATAACAAGTTCTGAAATTGAGGCAGCAATTAATGGCCTAGCAACCAAAAAAAGCCCAGGATCAGACAGATTCACAGCCTAATTCTACCAGAGGTACAAAGAGGAGCTGGTACCATTCCTTCTGAAACCATTATAAACTATAGAAAAAGAGGGACTCCTCCCTAACTCATTTTATGAGGCCAGCAACATCCTGATACGAAAACCTGGCAGAGACACAACTAAAAAAGAAAATTTCAAGCCAATATCCCTGATGAACATCAGTGCGAAAATCCTCAATAAAATACTGACAAACCGAATCCAGCAGCATATCAAAAAGCTTATCCACCATGATTAAGTCAGCTTCATACCTGGGATGCACAGCTGGTTCAAAATATACAAATCAATAAATGTAATCCATCACATAAACAGAACGAATAAAAACCACATGATTGTCTAAATAAATGCAGAAAATGCCTTCAATTAAATTCAACACACCTTCATGCTAAAAAGCTCTCAATAAACTAAGTATTGACAGAACTCATCTCAAAATAGTAAGAGCTATTTATGACAAACCCACAGCCAATACCATACTGAATAGGAAAAAGCTGGAAGCATTCCCTTTGAAAACTGGCACAAGACAAGGATGCCCTCTCTCACCATTCCTATTCAACAAAGTATTGGAAGTCCTAGCCAGGGCCAT